ATAGAAATGATAATCTTAAAAGCTTAACATGACAGGCAAGAGTCCATTAGAATACTATCTGGTTTATCTTTATATTGGATCAGTCTATCTACTCAACTTCTTTCCAATAGAGAAAACTCTATTTGTTCATAATGAAGATTTTTTTAGGAGAGTTACTCACTTTATCTTGTCTAGAAAAATTAAGTTCAGATATTTACAGAAATTGGAACTGTGTAGAATGCAATTTGACTACTAAAATAGCTGATCATTTATAATCATGTGATACTTATTCATCGAAACTTACAAGTATCATCTTTGACGTAAAGTCTCAGATTATAACCTTAATTTCAAAAAGCTATTCTCCTTCTCTTTTCACCTCAATCCCTTTACCAGTAGAGCTACTCCTAAATAAACATTTTGCATATACATCAGATAGAATTAGTTCCTTTCTACCTATAATTCAAGGAAAATTACCTTCTGTTTTATTTGATGATCTCACAAATCTGATTAAATCTTCTAAAAAACTAATAGGATTCTTACAACTGCAATTGTTGCTCTTTATAAGCAGTTATTTACTGAAATTTAGTCATATCGCTACTCTCTTATAAATGCCATAGAATTATTAAAATACATCATTTTTAACATGAAAAATATGAAGAAGAAATGTAAACATTTGTCTTATGATAATAGCATAGCATTGATTAATACTTGGAAGTTATGGATTCAACTTGCTCTTATATATTGATATAAGTGGACGAATTTTTAAACTGGTTATGATATGTTCTTTTTCTTTTTTTGATAAGTTTAGTAGTCATTGGGTTAATTCCTTTGGGTCTAAAGGAAGAAATTGATGATGATAGGTCAACCTAGACAGATAGATATATTTACATATTCTATTATCAGAAGGTAGTTAATATTTAATCTAGATTATTAGATAGTTTTATTTTGTTTTATTTTTATTACTTATAATTTCTTTATTTTCTTTAGAAAAATCTATAAATCTTAATAAAATAGTTGGCAGAGTCATATCAAAAAAATATTTAAATTGGAATAAGTAATTTTTGATTTTTTACATTTTTAATTAATATATAAAACTATATTAATTAGGCTAGATTTGCAATTATTATAAATATTTAGCAAAATTATCAATAATTTTAAAATATTACATGATTTTGATAATTAAATAATATTTATAATACTAAGTAAAGTTGTAGATCTAATAATGTTCTATAATATTACTTATTATAGAAACTTATTATTATATATTAAAATTTAAGTTAAATTAAAATTCTTAAAATTTAACTTAAATTCTTAATTCTGGTAAAATTATAAATCGCATGATAACATAATTATGTATTTACATTTTATATTATATTTTTTGTAAACAATTACTATGATATGAATAATTGTGAATAATCCTGAATTTGATAAAGCATCTGTGTAAAAGCTTTAGCATGTATTTCTGTTTTAATATTGCTAATCTATATAATAGTGTCAAAATGATTAGGGATTTCAAAGGAGATACCAGTTTCTACAGTACTGGTATAAATTACATAATCAATAAAATTCCAAGTAGCATTAATATTAGTAAAATTCTTTTATTATTACATTCTGTCTATTTAGCCAAAATAAATATATGTTAAAATAGGTAAGCTATTTGATTTTTGTAATGTGAAGCATGGTTTACCAAAGTCTAGGCTTTTTTATATAATGTCATTATAAAAACAAAATGTTTACCTTTTTGAAATATCTTAAGACCTCTTTTCATACCTAAACCTTTATCTGGATTATAAAGAATCTTAATAGATTTATCTATATATAATTAATATTTATTATCAAAAATTTATATATTATTACCTTGATATTTTTTTAAGAAAGCTAACTATAGTGAAGTCATTTGTAAAGGCATCTATAGCAATAATATGATAGCATTTTCAGATTCTCACACATGAACTTCACTAGACATTTGGCATTGATTTTATTTAAAACAACTACATATGAACGTCTTTTATGAAGCTCAATGTATATTTTCAACCTGAATGATAATAATATCCCAATCACTTATAGCTAAACTACCTTTAACTTTTTAATATTGATACACAAAGTTCCAAACTCTGTAATATTTCAACTTTTATTAATTATTTTTGTTTTATTTTAGAATAGAATGTTAATAATCATTTTGAAAAAAAAGCGAAAAATATATATAACTGGTAAAATACAGTCAACATATTATGATAAATGAAAACCAAATAGCTCATTTACCAAATCAGTAATTGGTAGCTTAAAGATCACAAATTTTTTAAATCTGATTCTCAGTTTAATACTAATGATAATAGCAAAAAAGATAAAATTTATAGTGAATCAGAAGAAGAATAGAATATTAGTATAAAGTAAATAAAATTGATGCAAATATCTTAACTGAAAAATTGATTACAAAGCAAGGATTAGAATGGTTATGTATGCATTTTTTCTTAAAATATGAAAAAATTATATTTAATATTGTAGTATAATTCATTCATCAAAATGGTATAATATGAATATACTATTAAAATTGAGATACGAGATATAGTAAATCATATGATCTGTATCTTAATTTTAATAGCACACTATCCATATATAACATATTATTATATCTATTTAAAGATTTGAGATTTTTATTAGTATAACAAAATCTTTGGTAATGCTTATTATGGTTTATAGAGAATATTATTTTAATTATTCTTTATTCTTAAAGAAATATAGAATTGAGATTCTTAAACATATTTTTGATATATTACGTCAAGTAATAGCTGATTTTAACTTTTATGAATTTTATAAAATCCAAAAATGTGTTATGTACTAAGATAAAATTACACATGTTAAACTAATTAATATATCAAAAGATTGTACATTAGTTGGAGATAAGAATTTTATTATACTAATTAAAGTGTAACTTAATAAAATTAAAGTTTATAAATTTAAATATTTTAGATTATGTATTTAATATTAATAGTACTTCTATTTCTCTTGAAAATATTGAATATTTATGAACTTGATCATTTGAAAATAACATTAAAGAAGCAATTCGCATTGGATATAATGAAACAGTATTATTTGCAGAATATTTTCAAATTAATAATCAAATTACACCTTCAATATCAAAATTTAACTAATAAAAAAAGTTTTTTTTTGATTTGTTAAACACTTTTATATTTTTAAATATTTATTTTATTTTAGATCAAATTGAATTACAAATAGAAGTCAAAAATATTAGGACTGCTGCATTTGAAGTTTCTTGCTTTTATTAGATGAATTGGATGATGAATTTACAGATAAAAATAAAAATACAAATATTCCATTAGTAACTTTTCCTAATTTACGTTATATTATTAATCAAATACTAATTTCTCAAAAGCAATTTGAAGATGTTGATTCACTTTTTATACCTAAACGATTTTACATTCTAAAGTATTAATTGATATTCAAAAAAATCATGATACCTTTTCACAGCATCCAAAAAATACCTTAAATAAGCAAGCACTATTCAAAATATATGAAATAACCAGTTCATTTAATCTTAATAGTGCTAATAGATTGATTACTGAATTGACAAATAATTTTAATATTCAAGAAAATTGTGTAAATTGATGAAAAGATTGCTGGAAAGGACATAAAAGACTTGCAACCATTCCAGGATTAATGGTAATTTAGTTTTAATATTATAAATTTATGTTATTTTATAATAAATTCTAACTTATTTTATTGTCTTTTTTTAAGTACATAATATTATTGATGCAAATGTGTCTGATTTTCATTCTTTAATTCCAGGTGAATATTTAATCATTTATTCAGACAAAACACTTTGTATTGCTCAAATTATCTCAGTATATAAAAAACGAGATCAACGACATGTCTGGGTAGCAAAAGCAAAATTTTTTGGATCGCTTATCATATTTTTCGGTTAACATTTATTTGAATGTTTACAATAATCTTTGGACAAATGCATGTGAGGCAGAAGGAAATCTAGTTGGTCACATTTCAGCTAAAGAAGTTTTAATTCTTCTCCTTTTAATTCCTAAGGTTCATTTTTTATTTTAACAAAAGAAAATTTAGAGATTTTTCAGCATTTTAAAACACCAAAATGAAATCAAATTTTTCCAAACTAATATTGTTTTATTTTTTGATATGAAATTTATATTTTTTCCTAATCTTTAATAATGTAATAATTTCTAATAATTTCTAATAAAAATTAATAATTGAAAGTAAAACATCTTACCAAAATTTTATGATTCGAACATCTTTAGATCATTTATGCTTACCGCTAATTAGTAAAATCATGTGGTTCGAGATCATATGATTTTCCTAAAGACCTCTATTAGAAGTTTTCGCGGTCTGATAAATAACAGATTTCACTAAAAAAAAAAAAAAAATTGACACATTATCATATAAGTCACATGACCCGAGGCTTTTTTGATGGTGATGCTGATATTTAACACCGTAATTTTCATTTTATCATGGCTGGAATTAATTTTGGTCCAATTAGCTGTTTATCATGACTGTACCAAAATAATTTTGTTTAAAAGAAGGTTGAAAAATGAAGAATAAGTGAAACATATAACGTATAGAGTCAATTGATATTGACATAATTAGATTTATTAATTCTTTAATTCTTTTTAATATGGAAATTAAAATTAATTCAAAATCAGGAAATTAAAATAAGGATTGTCTTCTTATAGAACACACACATCTGATTTTGTAAAGATGAAAAAATAAATATAAACGTGTATTACAATCAAAGACGAAATAGTAATGGTTTTTCCCGGGCCGTTTTCAAAATTTTCAGATCTACAATTAAATAATTGAACACAAAACGCCAAATATTGTTACGTAAAAGATTCCTTAAGCAGATGGAGATTTTTTTTTTTCGAGTAACAATCTCTACAAAAAGGCAGGAATTCCTTCTTTTTTTTTTTTTTTTTTCCTTTGCCAAGTTCTTTCTTGAGTTAAATTTTTTTATTTTATTTTCAATTTAAACGTTCATAATGGATTATATTGGAGAAGCTGTAGGAAACATGATATTTGGTGAACAGGGAACCAAGGGCGAGTGGGAAAAAACGCACCGCTATAATTCCTTTGCTTCCGAAAGAGAAAATTGTCATGTAAAATGGTATGTCGATGGTAAATCCTATTTTTATGCTGTCTCGGAAGCTCTTATGGCTGCCAAAGAGGAAATTTTCATTGAAGACTGGTGGCTTTCACCTGAATTGGTATGTAGCATTCGACGCGGTTTTTATTTTTTCACGGCAGTTATTACGTAGTATTCGCGTGTTAAATAGTAAATTTATCGAAAAATGATACAGTATCTCCGTAGACCTCCTTCCAAAAATGAAGATTATCGACTTGACCTTCTTCTTAAAAAGAAAGCAGAAGAAGGAGTGAAAATTTATGTTGTTATCTATAAAGAAATGCCCAAAACTTTGACTTTGAATTCTAGGCATAGTAAAGATATTTTGCAGAATTTGCACGAGAATATTGTTGGTAAGAACTACCGAATTTAAATGACGGGAATAATTCTTTAAATATTTATGAAATTTTCTTTTATCTCATGAAGTTCAAAGACATCCTGATCATGGTCTTGATGGCACTTTCTTTTGGGCGGTAATTATAAATCAATATCTGCTAATCGATTTATTAAACGCGATTGTTCTATAATAAATTTTATGATTGTTCAAATTAACACGATATTTATATTTTAGCATCATGAGGTAGATATTTAATTTTTAAGGTTACATTTACAAAATAAATAAACTTTTATTAAACTATAGCTTTTTTTTTCATTTAGAAAATGGTAGTTATTGATAGACACATTTCTTTCATTGGTGGTTTGGATTTGTGCTTCGGTCGATATGATACCCCAACACATCAACTTGCTGATTTTCATGAAGCCTCTAAAAAATACTCTATTTGGCCTGGTCAAGATTATTCAAATCCTAGGATCATGGATTTCACGGACGGTACCTTCTATAAATATTTTTCAATGAAAATAATTTATACTTTGAATTTTCCTCATTTCATTTCAATTTTTTTTAATATATTGCAGTGCAAAATTGGGCCAAAGGTTTAATTGACAAAAAGAAAACTCCTCGTATGCCATGGCATGATGTTTCAATAGGTTTCGTAAGTATTACGTGAATTCTTCTTTATCAATATGAAGATTAAATTCTTAAAAAGAAAATTTCTTCTTGCTCTTATTCACAGGTTGGTAGACCTGCACTTGATGTCGCACGTCATTTCATTCAACGATGGAATTTTATCAAAAAACAAAAGGCTCAAGACCGTCCTGTATATCCAGTCTTAATTGCTAAATCTGACGAACAACACGATCGTGAACTACCTCCAAAGGTTAGATCTTATAGTTATTGCGGAGAAAACTTCGAATGCCATCCGGACAAGGGTTCATGCAATGTTCAAATTCTCAGAAGTAGCGCTGAGTGGAGTCATGGTCTCGATAAAGTAGATGTAAGTTTAATTTTTTTTCTATTGATCTTGTTAAAAATGTGTTCATTTTTTTTTACGAACATAAAATTATATTTAGCATTCAATCCAAAATGCTTACATCAAAATCATTGAAGCTGCTCAACACTTCATATATATCGAAAACCAATTTTTCAGTAAGCTTTTCGTTCGTTTGTTTATTTATATAATAAATTTTTTGTTTATTTTATTTTTTATTTTATTTTTTGAAATAGTTACTGCTACTAAAGAAAGTAAAGATTATCCAGTAAAAAATCTTATTGGAAAGGTAAAAAATTCTTTTAAAAAAAAAATGCTTAACCAAATAAAATATATTAACATATCATATACTTCATCATTACAGGCAATAGTAGAAAGAATTACTAGAGCCTTTAAGAATAATGAAAAATTCAGAATAATTGTTGCCATGCCCTTACTTCCAGCTTTTCCTGCTGATCTTGACTCTGGCGACGCTGGTACTGTTCGGTAAGCTTTCTTTAAGCTTAATATAACTGGACCAATATCAAATTTGAATTTTTATAAAATATTTTTTAGTCTCGTCATGCATTACCAATACCAATCGATTTGTCGAGGTGGACAATCAATTTATGAAGTTTTAAGGAAAAACGGCGTTACTAATCCTGATAGGTACATTGGATTTTATGCACTCCGTGCCCATGACAAGATCAATCCTCAATCTATAGCAGAAGGATTGGGCTTATTAGAGGATGAAATAAACGCATCCGGTACAGCTGAACAATCTGGTGCAGACCCAGCTGTTCCTCAAGCAGTCGTTGACGAAGATCCTTCTGGCACCTATATTACTGAAGAATTGTATATTCATACTAAACTTTTAATCGCTGATGACAGAATTGTTATTTGCGGTTCTGGTGAGTGGTAATTTTCTTCTTCGTAAAATTCGGTTTTTCTTTAAATTAAATTTTTTTTTTCATTATAGCTAATTTGAATGATAGGTCACAAAATGGTGACCATGATTCTGAAATTGCTGCTGTAATCGAGGACAAGAATTACATAGATTCTAAGATGGTTGGCAAAGAGGTATTTACAAAAAAAAAATTTCAAATTTTATTTTTATATACTATTTCATTATTAGTATTATTGAGTTTATTCAATTTTATATAATTTGCACTTAGTGGCAAGCCGGAAAGTTTGCCGCAACTTTACGTCGTCATATCTTCAAGGAACATCTTGGTTTGCTTAATGAAACTGACCACGAGAAAATTACTCCAATCTGTCATCCACCACCGCTTAATGCTGATTTACCTCTCGATGATGAAGAACTTAGTCAGGCCGATCATGTTGTGATAGATCCAGCTAGCGAGGAATTTTATTATAACGTTTGGCATCGAACTGCTACGATTAACACAGAAGCTTTCCGAACAGTATTCCGTTCTGTTCCAGATGATTCTGGTAATTATAAATTCTTTAAAGAAAATATATATGTATATTTTCTTGAATGTGAAAATTAAAATTTTTTTTTTATATTTAGTTACAACCTGGAAAGAATTCAAAGCATTTGTTCCGGATCGAACAAAGATTCCAACTGGACACATTTGCGATCCGGAAAAATTACCCAGGGATGTCGTTGAATCAGAACTGAGCAAAGTCAAAGGCCACTTAGTTCATTTCCCATTACAATTCATGTCTAATGAAACTTTGTCAGGATCGGTTGTAATTGATGCAGTCACTCCTATGGAATTATTCACTTAATTTATTAGACTTGAAACAAATGGGGTGTTTTTTTTTTAAAAAAAAGAATTTTTTTTTCATCATTGTATATTGTGTTTAATATTTCTTTATCCATCAATTCATTATACATAGTTCTGTAATATTTATTTATTATTTATTTATTATAAAAAAGTAAGGCAATGGATCAAAACATTCAGTCAGCGAATGTATTTTATAACTTTATTAACCATCTATTTATCTTGTATTTCTTTTAATTAATCTCTTTCAGCAAGAGGATTCGCATGAATTGTCACAGATTTAATTCTTATATCTTGAATAGGTTTATATTTCTCATCAACGGGTAATTTTTCAATAGCATCCAATGTAGTATCTGATCCATCAATTACCCTTTAAATGGAATAATGTTTATGTATCATATATTAAGGAAAACTTCTAGAAATCATAAATTACATACTTTCCAAATACCGTATTCTTTGTGTCTAAGTGAGGTAGTTTGGTATACGTTATAAAAAATTGTGATCCATTGGTATCTGGTCCACTATTTGCCATAGAAACTATACCTCGTGTATTATGCTATTGAATTTACCATAATAAGTTATATAATTGAACAACAATACGTCGAATCATTTATTTACCTTTAATGAAGATTTAATTTCATCTTCAAATTTCCTTCCCCAAATTGAAGTCCCACCTTTACCAGTTCCTAGAGGATCTCCTGTCTTTAATTTGAAAATTAATATTCGGTTAAATTATATAAGTTAAATCTCCATTTTTTTTTTACCTGCACTATGAAACCTTTGACATTTCTGTTTTAAAAAAAATATATATATCAAAGTCATTAGAATGATTTTTGAAGAAAAAAATAAATTGACTTCAATCTTAATTTACCTGTGAAATAAATTGTTGTCATAATATCCACCTGCACATAATGCTAAAAAATTCTATTCAATAACAGAATTTAAAAATTAACAAATCCTATTTATTTTATCAACAACGTGTATGTATATGTATGAACAAAAACTACCTCAGCAGTTTTGGGTACTGCCTCACAAAATACTTCAATTTTAAGATCACCGAGATCAGTATGAAGTGTTACTGACTATAAACGTGTTAATTATAATTAAAAAAAGAAAATCAACCTAAAACTTAATTATTAAAAACATCTACCATTGAACAAGAAAACTGAAAAGATAGAGAATTGATTGTCTATGAATTTTTATATAGTAAAAGTCAAAATATATAAAAAAAATGGAATGAATTCTTGAGAAATAAAATTCCTACCAATCGTAATTGAGACGAGTTTATATGATCATCATTTCTAATTAAACTTATATATGGGATGACAAAACAACTGGCAATGATATCTAAAAAATGTTTGAAAGTTAAATTGGCACGTCAATTCTTTGAATTTTAGGTTTATTATTTAATTAACACCATTTAATTAGGCAAAGAAATTTTATGGATGCTATAATTGTAAAAAACGAACTATGCTATTGGGGATGTACAAATAACCTAAAGTGAGCATGGTTACTTCCATATCATTTAGCTCATGTAGATTTTCTTACATTAAAAATTGTCAAGGAACTTCAACCAGAATTAAATAATATTAAACTACCACAAATTATTAAAGTTTAATTATTAGGTATCTAACTGCTTGTATTAATTACCCTTGGTCCGTCGATAGCAAGTAAAACTATATAAGATTTAAATGATTCGTGACTTGAATTTGAGTATAAAAATATACAGAATTTTTTAGCCAATTTAAATAAGGAAAAAAAAAATTTTGTACACTAAAATAAATTCATAAAGCACGTTGGAAAAGCTCTTGAGAAATGTCCTCAACAAAATAAAAACGAATATATAAATAAATTGAATGTTTATACATCTTAGTAACCAATATTGTTCTTAAACCAAGCAATCCTTGCGCAGATTTACAAAAGCACTGGAACCAACTCCATTCCTTGCAAGTTCATTTAGAACAACAGAGGATTGCCGGTATACTTGTTCTAATGGTGGGATAGGAGGTTTCCCTTGCGACACTAGCAAAAGAAAAAATAATAAAATAAAAAAAGATTATCTATATGTACATATCAATAAATCATGAAATAACGAGAAAGAAGTCTACCTAAAATGGCACTATTCAGAGCATTTGCTACTGGTTCTCTACCCGAAGGATCAAGAAGATACGAAACAACACTTTTTCGTGGATCAGTATATGCCAGTAATGAAAATGTTTCCTGTAAAAAAAAAAAAAAACCATTTAGTTCGAAATTTATCACTTTTATAATATTACATTAATAAAAGTGGCTAACCTCTAATGCTTTTTTTATTTCTTCACGTTTATCATCACGATAATCATCTTGTAATTCTTGACCAAACCGCATTGCGGCTTCAATCACACCCAATCCATTTAACCCTGATCCAACACCTCTCCGTCGCTTAGATACCTTTTTCTTTTTAATCGAAGTTACCATGCCATGAATTTCCTCTATTGATTCACGATCGCTATGCGAAACAATGTAATCATCAACATCCATTGCTTCCATTGCATCTGCATATTCGTCTTCCCCTTCATCCTCATCAGCATCCTCCACTTCTTCCTCCTCCTCCTCCTCCTCATCATCATCAAGGTCTTCATCTACAGCTTCTTCAATTACTACTTCTTCATCAACCTCAACCTCGCCTACATTGTCAACTTCTTCATTCTCTAACATTAAATGACGCTTATCGATCTTTCCAATTTCTTCATCGTCATCTGAACATGTAATTTGGCTACCAGCGCAAAGCCCCATCATTTCTATGAATTTACGACAACGAAGTCGGAAATATATATCATCATTTGAAGGCAAGACCGAAGGATAAAATTCGTTGGTTAATTGGATGGCACAGTCGATATCACCATTAAGGACGGCATCACGAATCCCTAAAATACAAATTTAGTCATTATTATAATTGATATAAAACGTGTTGAATGAATTTCAATCCATATCTGCATACTCTGCCGGTTAATTATATCCTTATCTAAATCTAAAAATGTATTTTCACTTTCAACACCTTCCATTTCATTGCTGTCGGTTTGTGTGATCTGTACAGCATCTGTTGAGAATGCCTTTGCAGTTTCGCTATATCCATGATGAACTAAATAGGATAAGATGAGTTGGTGAACAGTTGCTGTAAGATTTGTCTCTGAAGTGGCTTGAGAAACGGGAGCAGAAGTCAATGGCGATGAAATTGTTGACAAGGGTTTTGTATCGATAGCTTGCCATAATCGAGCCTTTTCTTCCTATGGATATATATTCGTTAAGTATACTATAATATTAGCTGATACAACTTCTCCATTAAATTATCTAACCTTCATATAATGCTCAATTGCATATTTAAAATTTCTATGGCCAAAATTAACTTCTACAGACTCTCCTTGAGTCCGCAGCCCAATTGAAGGATATAAAACAACTCCTTTTAAATCTTGAAATGCAATACCTTAAAAACAATAATAATAAGTTAATAGGAAAAATCAACTTTTTTTGCTATATATATATTTTTTACTTATTCACCTAGATACTTTCCGTTCTTTGTATAGAATGCTGTGCCATCTCTGAAATTTAGACAGCAACCGATAGTATCACCTGTAGTAAATGTTGGTCCATATGGTTTACCAGTGCCTGAACAACAAAAAGAATGTCCGTCATCTCCATGATAACCCCATGAATCAGGTTCCCATCCTATTATTATCAATGTCGACATCAGATAAATAAATATGATTGATTCCACAAAACGATAACCTTATTCAACAGAGATTTACCAGGTAAACGGTTTAAATGAACTTGTTTTGAACAAAATCCTATTCCAATAAAACTATAAACAAACAGCATTAAATAATAGAAACGCAATATGCATTTAGTATTAAATAATAATTTCTCACCCATCTTTTCCTTTACTTATAATGTCAACTTCAAAATAAAATAATCCACATTGTGGGGGCATAGGGTAATTAGCTCTTATTGCAGCAGCATCTGTGTCGTACTTTCCAGAACCTAAAATTTACATAATAAACAATTTGCGTTATTTAAATGTTTTAATTATGATTTGATATGAAAATGAAATATCTATATTTATTCGTAAATAATGGTTTATAAAAACAGATTAAAGAAATCATATAATGTTTCTCTTTGTGAACAATTAATTTGAAAGGAAATCAATGAAAAATGTAAAGAACATTACATTGATTCTAGATCTAAAGATTCGTTATCCATTACCTATATAATTTACTCTGAGTTTGTCAGGTTCCACGTTTAGGTGTGCGCACTTGTCGTCAACATTCCACGCTGTTGGCAAAGACAAGTTTTCTAGTGGATTCTTGTCAAGTATAGTTGAGTTAGATCTTTCCATGTTAGAATTATAATATAATTCAGCAAAACTCGTGTCGGCCAAGTATTCCGGAAGTTTTGGTTTTAGAGTCTTCGACTTTAACTGTTTATTTGACGTGTTTATGGATAAGGCTGAAGACGAAGCATTATAAGCAGATCGTGAAGTAGAACCAGAAGCGTGAGAAGTCGACGTATTAAGAAGATATGTAGTTATGGTTGGCCGGGAGTAAGGGGCGGAAATCTGGCCAGACAACATGGCAGGAGGTGGATTGGACATTGGGTTAGTCATTGGATAAGTTGGACCAGGTGAGTTAGACATTAAAGCTAAGTGTGCTGCAGTCGCACTGTTTAAAGGATTTCTCCTAGAGGAGATAGAATTTGAAGAAGTATTTGTCATTAACTAAAAAAAAATGTTCAAACGACACCAAAAGGATCCTTATGAAAATTACAGAAATATAATGTATCAAATCAATTGGATCATATGTAAGAACCCGTTGCGAAATTTGCTACATATTACATGGGCCGAATGGGCAGGCCAGCATAATTCCACAGATTTCAAGGGTTAATATTAATCATCTGATTATGCAATGATGACAAAATTCGCTCAAGAAGATCTTGGTTACGTATCATGGACAAACGGTTTCGCCTAATGGTCCTGCCGCAAGACTAGAGCCTTTTAACTGGATCACAAATCTTGCTTAATTTGTTTAATTCTCTCAATATACTTTAAAAGAGTAGTCGCATTTATAAAACTTGCCTTAATTTTTGTAAATTTTTTTCCAGCCATAATAATAATGTTAAAAATTAGAGTGAAAAAGTTTACTTTTTTATATTTTAAATAATAAATATACCAGTAAATTTTGCAAAAAAATTTTTTTTAAAATTGAAGATTTTAATATCATATAATATTTTATATCCAAACTTATCAATTAAGTAGACTGAAATTCATAGGAGGACATTCATATGATTGGTCAGATAGGTTACACAAATTTTACTATAATTTTTATATATAATCACATGA